GAGAGGTTCGGTTCTTACAAGGAAAATGAGTGAATGTGGGAATGGCTCACCACATTGGGAAAACAAAACTCACATCCTGCTGATGGTTGGCTGAGGACTGTCATGTCCACATACAAAGAAAAGCATGTGGCACAGTTTTAGGACAAAGGTGAGCAGAGATCCACTGTGGAAAGGGGCACATTTTTCTCATAGAGAGAACATCCAAGGCATGCCCCTGAGTAAGCAGTGTTGGTGGGTGACCGCAGGTACACGCATGGAGGCTTGCTTTTCCCTTGCTCCCCATATCCACTCCCTGTCAGTTAGCTGGTGTCGAGCACCCCCTTAGTCACGCCCTGCCCAATTAGCTACTGATCAGCATATATATCTCCAGACCAAGTCATGTTCATCATTTTCAGACAGAACTTATTTATCTCCAGTATCTCTCTTCAGAGATGATGTTTGGAAGACAGAGCTGACCCTAAGCCATTCCAAAAGGGGTGAGATAACTACATCCTCTTTAGTAAAACAGTGATATTTGGAACCATTGGTAAAGATTATTAGAATCAGGGAAAGCCTATTTAGCAACAGCACAAGCTCAGACGATAATTATTCTTGGGTAAATTCTTCTAAAATTGAAGTCTTGAAGTAACTTTAGTTTGAATAACATGTCGTTACAATTCTAGCATTTTCGAGATCTGACTGAGAGCCTGAGCAATACATTAGATGTTGAATGAGGAAAACCATAGCATTGTCAATGGTGGAGAATGGACTAAAGCAGGGGTCCTGGTCAGTGGCCTGTTAGGAACTGGGCCGCACAGCAGGAAGTAAGCGGCAGGAGTGAGCAAAGCTTCATCTGTAGTTGCAGCTGCTCCCCAGCACTAGCATCACTGCCTCAGCTCCACCTCAGATCATCAGATAGTAGATTCTCATAGGAGCACCTGTGCCTGGTGCCAAAAAGGCTGGGAACCACTGGACTAAAGTTTAGAGCAGCCCACGTCATTCAGTGTGGCTTTGTTTGTGGTGTCCAGATAGCTGTCTATATTTGGTAAGAATCATGGTGCCCACTTTTTTTAGGGAGAAAATGACAGGAACTCCCCTCCTATCATTTTTTGACTAAATTTGTCAGGATAAAATGTGACCCAGAGGAAGAGTTTGGAAAAAGGCAGTAACAGAGAAATGTTGAAGAAAGGAGTTTTCTTTTAATTAAAAATTAGGCCATTCTTTGTGTTCTTTCACATAGGCATAGGGGAGAAAGGTTGAGAGATGTGACATCTGGGAGTCTAATAAGAGGAGGAATATTGGAGGGTTTTGTTTGTTTGTTTGTTTTTGCTTTTATCAGTCACATAAAGGGATTTCTTAATTTGTCTTAGATTCATTCTCCAGAATTCCTTCACCTTCATTCTCATACTAGAATTATTGAAAGAAGGTCTTTGTCTTTAACAGAACAGAAGAGTTAGGGTGCCTGTGGCTAGAATTAAGAAACGTATCTGTTGGGCTGTGTTTGTGAGGTTTATTCACAGGTCACACCAGAGAAATCTGAACATGTATACACACATGCTGATACATACAGTATGTGTACATACGTGTGTGTGTGTGTTTATATCCCCTTTTCCTTTGACAAAGTGTTCAAAAGGAGAGTACTTTTGGGGAACAGAGATTAGTTTCGTGTTACTTTCTGTGAAACACAAAGGGATATTAAGATGGATTTGGAAAGATTATCTGATGTTAGTTACCAGGGAGCACTTTACCTTCTTGAAGGCACTAAAAATTTAGAGATAGTAAAAATATTTAAGTAAAATTAAAATAGGGACCTATACAGTGGTTTTTAAAGGTATTTTATAAGATGATAAATAAATTTATTCCTGTTCATCTGTCACTTATATACCTCTGGTGCTACCATGTTGGTTCAAATTATCCCATCATTAAACCAGAGAAGGACTAACTTTTATCTGTCATACTTCTGCTGTTAGGAGAAACTGTAGCAATGTGTAGTATAGCTCCCTCATTTCAGGGATAAATTAGACCCAGGGAAATAAAATTATTTAAATGTGCTTTTCAGAGTTGCTTTATAGGAGAACAAGGACTAGAACCCAGGCCAGTTCTTGCTGCTCCAGTCTTACTAGTTAGAGTGTGCCTCAGTTTCCTCATCTGTAAAACAGGGATAATAGTACCTGGCTCTTGAGTATTGTGAATATTAAATGAGATAACATTGTCTAGTATATGGAAATTATTTAATAAATGTTAAGTAGCATTTTATTGTTACTGTTATTTCTAGTCTTTCTGCCTTATTTGGGGGACCCTTTCATTCTGTTGAATGAAATAAAGTCATTCTTTGAGTGAAGCACATCTAAATAAACAGTAATATAGTAGAAGCAACCACACTGACCTGGTCTTTGCTGTCAGAACAAGAGTCCCTATCAGGTATGGTCTGTGGTGAAGGAGGATATTTCATTGAATCTTCCAAACCCACCCAGCATGTCAGTGGCAGAGAGAAGTGACAGGTTGCCTGATTTACCCTTGGACTGGACTTTCACATTAAAATGTTCCAAATAGATTTTGAGGCTTTTCACAGAGTCGTAGCCAGAATTTTCCTGTGAAATAAATTTGATCTCAAGTCAGCTATTTCAGTAAGTGACTTGTATAGCCCAAAAATGTTGCTGCTAAGTGACCTACCTGTTTACTTTTTAGAAGTAAATATTAAGAAAGGACTGTAGGGGCCATTACCCTCTAATAACACAAATTGGCCCCCTACAAGTCAGGGAAAAATTTTATTGGGAAGGTGTGTCTGAGTGTTCATTTTTGGTTTTAGGTTCACTTAACAGATTGTTTTTATTTTCCCTTAGAGGTCAGGGTGAGTTCTTCATGTGAGCCTTGGAACAGAATGAGCACGCACAGGACGATCTTTGAGTCTGACATCCGCATCAGTTGTTATTAACAGAAGTTTGGCATTCTATTTCAGACAACTTGCAGAACTTAGAGTCTTACATTTTCTGACCCCCAAAGAGTTGTAAACCCTAATTATTTTTATGAAAACTGTTTAGATGTCTCTATGATTTATTTATTTAATCTTTAGGAGTCAGTGTTTTCCTTCTGATATCACATTAAATGAGTTAGAGTCATTGAGTGGTGCCAGGCCAGTATATAACTCTCAGAGGGGAGTGGAGGCCATTTCAACGTGCCTATGTTGAATGTTTTATCTTTACGTGGCATCGGGCTTTCATATGATGCCAAGAGCAGTGAAGCTGTGAGCAAAGCAGACGTGTGACCAGTCTTGACAACTAAATTAAGGAAGGTACTTTTATGCGGAAGGTCTTTGTGATCTATTTGCAAATAAACCTCTAAGTGGAAGATGGTTAGATTTGATTTTTTTTAATTTGCTTTTTAAGTTTTTCCTGTAAAAATGATAGTATAGCTTTTTTTATGACTTATGCCAAAAAGGTAAAAGTAGCTACAGTATATTATCTATTAGAGATTTTTAGTGACTAAAGCACTTTTTTACATAGAAAGTCAATAATTTGGAGAAGTTTAACTTGCTTTGTTAAATATAACATCATGTTCACAATCATTCTTATTAAGCTATCTAGCACTTCCAGCCTTTGGAAGCATGGAACTGTTTTAAAGACTTCATAACCAATAAATTGAGCCAGGTGGCTTCTGAATTGTATTACTGCAAAACATTTCCTATTAAACAACTGTGTTTGTCTGTGTTACAGTCTTTGTAACAGAGTTGAGATTCAGTGATGCTTAATGTTTAAATACCATTCATAGACATTTCAGCATAAAGAACCCTCCGAAGTTGTTAGCTGTACATTGTCTCCTGAGAGACTCTTATTGGAAAGGAACTCTCAGTACAGGCAGAATCCTACAAGTCTGAGTTCTCTCACTAAACATGTTGCTGAGTATAGCATTACATGCTAAAGAAATGAATCGTTTTGGTCAGACTGGATGAACTTCTGGCAAGCCCTGTAGCTTGTTTTTAGTTTGCAGTATGTTTAAACACAGAGGAACACTAGTCAGTGTTTGCTTGTGTACACAGCCATGTTAGAGTTTAAAGACTTTGCTGGTAACTTTCCATTGTGATCAAGTACGATCATTTAGATGATTTTGGTTTTTGAATGTAGGCAGTGGTCTCAAAGCTAGACTTTTCACAGCCATTTTAGACCAAGCTACAAGTTTATTGATGATATAGTTTATAGGTTATTTGTTTAACCTTACTTATAGATATCTTAAAATTTTATGCTTTCGTTTTATAAGTTGTACTATGAAACAGACATTAATAAGCTTGGGGGTAGGGTGTTTTGGGTATGTGTTAAACCACCAAACGTCTTCGCTGAGAGATTCCTAGCAATAGTATGTATAGAAGTTTGCACAGGTGTGTATATGTTTTAAAGAACTCCAGCCTACCTAAAACCTCATAGAAAAGAATTTGGAATATCATGAAGAAGTAAATAGTTCCAAATATTTTTCACTGATAATTTCTAGAACATTAAATTCACTTGTGGCTAATTTGTTAGGTAGAGGAACAGGAACTTTTTAAAAAAAAAAATCTTTCACCAAGGAGGTTCGAGATACTGTGATTATTTTTTAACCTGGTATGTTATTCCAAACATGATTTAACAGTTAAGACACAGTACCTGAATTTAGGTCTAATTGATGAGTTTCATGCGATTTGAAAGAGCAAACAGTCAATCTTGTAGAATTATATATTTTGATATCTTATACCAAGGTGGAGGTCTTTGCAGTTGCCACCAGCTACTTGGGGAACAAAAGAAGTGGTCTCTTTGTTTAGTCAGCCTCCTACTAGAAAGATGGGCGTCTACCTTGATAAGTCTCCCTATCTTCTTGTAATGCCTATTGGTACAAAGAAAAGTGGTTTCAGCTAAAGGAAAGAGAAAGCGAATCCTTAGTTTGCAAACCCCACCTAACCTTTGCTAAGCATGAACCTCATTGCTTTTTCCTTAATGTTAGTGAAGCTGGATGTCAAAATGGTGCTAACCAGGATTTTGTTTGCTCTTTTTTAGATATGGGTTTGTGGAGTTTGATGATCTGCGTGATGCAGATGATGCTGTTTATGAACTGAATGGCAAAGACCTTTGTGGTGAGCGAGTAATTGTTGAGCATGCCCGCGGCCCACGTCGAGATGGCAGTTACGGTTCTGGACGCAGTAAGCATTTAAAGGGCATTTGTAGCAATGACATGCCTTTGTTATTAAATGTTAATTTTTAAAAGTAATTAATATTATATTGAAATGTATTGACACTTAAGCCATTTGTTTTAAAAATTATGTATCTTTTTAAATGTAAAATTGCAAATAAACATCTTTGATAATGTTCGATTTTAATTAAATTAATGACATTTCTTGTTTTAATACTTTATAAATAATGTTTAATGATGTGTGTTTGTGTTGTTGTTTTGTTTTTCTCTGTAATGCAATTGTTTAACATAGATTTAACAAAGACCTCAATGTTTTAATTAAAAGAATCCTTTGAGGCTAAGATGACTGCCTGTTCCATTTGCTGACCTTGGGTTACCTTTCCATGCGTGGCTCTTTGAACCATTGTGGCCCTTGGCTGACCAAAAACAGGAAGCCATGTGACGACCGCAACCTTTCCCCATTAGACCTGGGTGGTGAGGATCCCAAGGGTTAGACACAGATGAGATTAAACTGAAATAGGTGCCTGAAAATCTTTTTTTTTTCATATAAAATATTCACAAAAACTTTAATCACTGTGAGTAACACCAGTAACTGATTTAGTAATTTGGTTACTTATTTCTAAATTGTTAAATTGTTAATAGTTTTTAATTTGTGCATGTTAATTTTAAACAGACTTTAATGACAATATATACTTACAGCTTTGTAAATTGAATTACATTTTCATAGTAATTAGTTGATTGCTTTTTTAAAAAAATATCTAGTTTATAATTAAGGGTGGGGATAGAGTTAAAATATATGTGGATGGGGATAAGTGGTATATTTAAGGGGAATATGTGTTATGTCGTGTTTTCCTTTTCTTCCATTGAAGTAATCTTATCTATTTGAACCTTCCAAAGGTGGATATGGTTATAGAAGAAGTGGCCGAGATAAATATGGCCCTCCTACTCGCACAGAATACAGACTTATTGTGGAAAATTTGTCAAGTCGGTGCAGCTGGCAAGACCTAAAGGTTTGGGCCCCATTAACCTCCTGGGATAAGGTTGGGCAGGAGGAGTTAAAGTTGGAAAAGAGGTAGTTTTGTGCAGGCACAGGCAGACACGGGATGTAATAGCACTATGTGTTTGGGAGCTTTCCCAAAGCATTTAGAAGGTCTTTGATTAAAGATTCCATAGGGGTACAGGAGATAACAGAGTCACACTACTGCTCTACATTATGGGACTATCACTTTAAGGATAACCTATGTTATATGAAATTTTCTTCCATAGAGAATTATAAAGAGATGCCAGTGTAGTTTCTCATTAATTAAAGGAAAAGTTTCAACCACTAGTGTTTTCCTGCAACATTAATTTTAATACGCAAGTTTATGTCAGCTTCCAGTGTAGATCCTCATTGGTAAAAATGACTATCTGACCAGTTTTTTTCATAGAATATTTATCTCAAAAGAGTTTTAATGTCAAAAATTAAGATCCAGTGCTATATTGACCATCCAGTATACTAATCCCAGCTCATTCTTTGAGAACAGTGTTGGGTTTTAATCTAAATAGGGAAGAAAAACTTATTGAGTAAATATCTTAACCGGGATGTCTTTAGGAGGACAAGGTAAAGGATATTCACAATTTCCGATCTTGCTTGTCAATTTCAGTCCATCATTAAATCATTTCTAGCAAAATGAGTATACAAGATTAGCAAAAAGTAGTTAGGAATCCTTTATGTTCATATAGTTTTAACTTATCAAAAACACTTTTATATATTTTTTATGTTTTTAAATGTGCTTCCAACAGTTTTTAGATAAAACAGATGAGATCCAGAAAGCATTAATTCGCACAGTTGGTCTTAGCAAAAGAGCTGGGACAAGGACATAATCTGGTGTTTTTTTCTAGTGCATTGTGTTGGTTGTCAACCTTACAGCAGGTCCTGAGTGTCTGCCAGAAAGATGGCACTTGCTGAAGGGATGATTCCAGTATTCTGAGAGTTAAGGGTTGAACGTTTTGGGTAAAAACTGGAAAGGCTTTCGTTTTTTTAGTTTAATGGAGCCTAGCCAACGTCCTCAGTTAGTTTTATCGTTCTGTACCTTTGGTATTTTCACTCTTAGGAAAAGAGAGTCATAAAGCCGATTTCCTAGTAAGTCAGGGTAGCCTTAAGAGCAGGCTCTGGAGCTCGCCTGCCTGGATTGAATCCCAGCTCTGCCATATAGCAGTTATTTATTTTAGCAAATTACTTTCCTCTTGTGCTTCATACTCTCAGCTATGAAATGGGACTAATATTCATTTCTACTCAAGGTTATGAGAATTGAATGCATTTTCATATATAAAAAGCCTATAATGGTTTCTGGCATAATAAATGCTAGCTATTAATCAAGGCAATGCAAAAATAAAACAAATTGAAAGGATAGTGTTACTTTTTAAAATTTGTAAATTCATAACACTCAGTGATGATGGCATTGAGATGAGATTTATATAGTAGTGTCATTGAGAATTGGTAGTTTAACCCAGTGTGGGGCAGTACAGTCGTACGCTACATAACAACATTTTGGTCAGTTGATGGACCGCCTGTATGACAGTGGTATTCCATATAACTAGTTATGAGGTACGTGGTACCACCGAGGCTTGTCTAAGCGCACTCTGACATTCCCATGATGCAGTTGCCTAACAGCACATTTCTCCTGTTGTGAAGCACAGCGTGACTGTATTAAGAATCCAGCTTCTGTAGTCTGGCTGCTTGTGTTCAGACCCCAGCTCATTCACTTACTACTTGAACGGCCTTGAGCAGTTTAGTTAACATCTATATTTCACTTTTTTTCTTCTGTATAGTGAGGGTAATGATTGTATCTACCCCGTGTGGCAGTACTTGAGTCTGAATTAATTATATCATACCTATCATACAATAAACACTAAATACGTTAGCTGCTGCTGTTATTAATTGGGAAGTATGACAGTATAGAACAAAAGTAGTGACATTTTTCAGGCCTATTGCCAGATGTCACATATCTCGACTTACACACATTACTTTAGTTAAAAGTCCCAGTCTTGGCATAACTTAATAGCTTCCTCATTCACTCTCAAATGTATCCTGTTTTGCCTGGTAAATTATATGGGCTTCCTGCCTTTACCCAGAACCCCCACTTCTGCAAATAATTTAGTTGAAGTATAGTAGTTTTTGTGTAAAGATGTTCATTGCTGTATTATTAATAATAGCAAAAGACTATGTATAACCTAAAAGTCCCAACTCTTGGGAAATGCTCAGAAAAAGTATTGGGCACACTAATTATGACGATTGTGTATATTAAGACATGTAAACATTTTATGTTGCAGTGAGCAAATAGTATCAAATGGCACGTGTTCAAGGTTTATAACTATAAAATATGGAGAGAACAATAACAAATGACCTGCTACTGGATATTCATATATTTATTCCACAAATATCAAGCACATGTTCTATATAAAGAAATGTGGGGACAGTGTCCATAAGTCCCCAAAGAGAGTGAGGGAAAAGGCTTAGAGTAGTGAAGGGACATGGGTGGTCATACCATTTTGAAGCCAGACCTGGAAAATACTTTTCTGTGGCCTTTTTGTCTTCCATTTGTTTACATTTTACCTTAGATAATTGTCAGTATCTATCCATGTTTTTAAACAAAGATTTATAATGAAATGTAAAAGTCTTAAATGTAGTGATATGAACTTCTAAAGCTTCTATAAACCAGGAACATGCCACTATAAAATTTAGAAAATGATAGTTAACTAAAAATTTTTGTATTTACACATAACTGTTGAAAAGAGCAGTTAAATATTTATTAATTGTCTGTACCACATGCCTAATGCCTCATGCTTTAAAGAACCTCAGTAAATGATTGGTGTACAGATGGAAATATTTTAAAAGTAAACTCCATTCTGAGGAAAGGTAGCATTTCTTCTTAAAAGAAGGTGGGGGGGGTGGCTTTAGTGATTGCATTAACTGCTTTAACACACTGTCTTAACCTATTCGGTGATTTTTTTCATTCTTTAGGATTATATGCGTCAGGCAGGGGAAGTGACGTATGCAGATGCTCACAAGGGACGCAAAAATGAAGGGGTGATTGAATTTGTGTCTTATTCGGATATGAAAAGAGCTTTGGAAAAGTTAGATGGAACTGAAGTCAATGGCAGAAAAATCAGATTAGTCGAAGACAAGCCTGGTTCTAGACGACGCCGGTCCTACTCCAGGAGCCGGAGTCACTCGAGGTACTGTCGTTGATGTCTTTATGTGTTGGAGCTCACTAAATTCATTAATGAGTACCTAGATAATCCATTTTCATTCTCCTGTTGAATTCTCAGTAACGTGGTTACATCTGGTTCACAATTCAACTTTGAACTGAACATTTATTTGTAAAGCTCTCGGAACTCTTATGTCATGAGTACAAATAGAAGTAAAGTCCTTTTTCTGAGAACAGATATCAGTGACCTTCTATCACATCTCTTAGGTCCCTCAGATTATACCCTCATTGGGGGCAGCATGGCTACTAGTCCTGTAGTTACTCTCCCAGATGCTCCTGCCGCTCTCTCCTTCATCCTCTTATGTACTGACTTTGTCTTATTTGGCAGCTGCTCTTCAAATGAGCCAGGAGCAAGTCAAACATGGTCTCTGCCCTCATGTAACTCAGTCTAGTGTAGAAGACAAGCATCAAGCAAATAATTACCGTTGTGTCAAGTATGTCAGAGGAAATGTACACAGCACAACCAGTCTGGAGAGCTGGCAGAGGCTTTCCTAAGGACATGCCCTCACGCCTTAGAAGCTGATCCCCAACAGATAAGTTGGAGATGGTGGGCAGAGAAAGGAGAAGCGCCTTTCTAGTAGAGAGAACAGCATTTTTTTTTTTTTTTTTTTTAATGCCTGGGGCCAGGATAGTTTCCCAGAGTGTGGATGGAGTAGAGCAGGAAGCAGAGGAGAGGAGCTTGAGGGGAGACAGAGAAGGACCAGATCCTGCTGAGCCACAGGCCATGTTAGGACTTGAGAGCAGTGGGAAGTCATTAGAGACTTCTGAGTTTTCAGGTTTTGTTGTTTTGCCTTTTAACTTTTTATTACGGAAATTTTCAAATATGTAAAGCATTAAAGAAAATAGTTTAATGAACCCTGAATTCCCCTTATACCTGTCACCTGTCCATCTTCAGTACTTTTTCTTTTGCTAGTCTTGTTTCATCACCCCTCTCCTGCTGCATTGTTTTAAGGCAAGTCTAGACATCCTGTCACTCTGCCTGTAAATACTTCAGTAAAATCACAGTGCCATATGCCAGCTACCAGATTTGTATTTAATTTCCTCATATGTCTCAAATATGTATTTTTGCAGTTTGTTCATATTAGGATCCCAACTAGGTCTTCACGTTGCAACTAGATGACCTATCTTTTAATTCTCCTTTTAATCACTGATATGTCCTCCTTCACCCTCTTTTTATTTTCCGTGCATTTAGTTGCTGAAAAAAAATGGTTATCTGTTTTGAAGATTTTCCCATACTTGAGATTTTGCTGATTGCATCCTTGCAGTGGTGTTCTCTATCCTGTCCCCCATATTTATCCTTTATTCTGTCCTCTATATTTCCTGTAAACTGGTAGTTAGATCTTGAGGCATTTAGAGTAAGGCCAGGTGCACTTAATAAGTAGTGCTTTGTACTTTCTGTTGCATCACCTATGTGGTGTCTGATGTCCCAGTTTGGATGATGAAGCATGCATCAGTGTGTTCAGGAGATGTCAAGCAATCCATTATAAAGTTCTGCATCAACATTCTACCTAATAGTTTTAGCATCTATTGATAATGATTACCTAGAACCATTCATTGGCGGTTGCAAAATGATGACTTTCTAATTTTATCATTCTTTCTGCATTTAAAGGCTGTAATTCTATAAAGGATGGTTTTCTTCATCCATTCTTTGTTATCCTCAAATAGAGTTTTTATGGGAAATACAAAATAAAAGTTTGATACCTTTATTTACCAACTTTCAGATTATTAAATGTGCCCTAGCAACCCAAAAAGTAGTGATGAAGTTGGTTGTATCATTTTGAATGAATTCTTAGATGTTTATATGTTTAATATTTCATCTGTTACAGTTGTAATTTTTTATGCTCAAATTGTTCTGTCTTTGGTTGTTGAGAGCCCTTCAAGTTGGTTCCTATTTCAGTATTTTGGTTTTGTTTGATTTTTGTTTGAATGTGCTTTACTAAATATTTACCCAAACTTTATTGCAGTCATTTTCAAACATAAGGACTAGTTCACAAACACCCATACACCCTCTTTTTAGCTTCAACAGTTAGCATTTTGCCTTCTTCCTTTTTCTCTGTGTGTGTGTGTGTTTATACACACATCCTATACATTTATTTTGCTGTCGCATTTGAAGGGAAGTTGTAGAAATTATGGCATTTTACCCACAAATACTTCAATATGTATCTCCAAGAATGAGGATAACCACACTTCTATTTTCTGACCTAAGAACATTAATAGTGATTCTGTAAAGTCCTCTAATGTCCAGGCCGTATTCCAGTTTCCCCACTTATTCCATGGATATCTTTATAGCTGCATTTTTTTCCTGACGAGGATCATCCAATCCAGTTACACATTGCAAGGAGTTGTTAGGTCTCCTTAGTCTTAAGCAGTCCCCATACCCAGTTGCCCCTATTATACTTACTTTTCTTAGTTTTTGTTGTTTGTTCTTAATACTTTCCCACATTCTGAATGTATCTTGTTTCCTCTTGGTATCATCGAACTCGTACTCTATTGGAAGTTAGATCCAGAGAGTTGTGAATGAGATACACTGTAAACATTTTTGGCAAGAGTTCTTTTATAGATAATGGTGCCCAGGAATCTTTGAAAGTTTTCCTCTTTCTGTCATGAGATGTTCTAGGCCCATCTTGTACATTTCCTTCCTTACACCTGTGATCAGTCATTTTCCCCAAGGAACCCTGATTGCTTTCAGTAGGAAATGATAAGAATCCAGTCTTGGCTTCTTAAAGATTTTCTTAACCTTAGAGTGTATTTTTAAAATGGCCTTCTGGTCACAGTAGGTTGAATAGATAGGTAAGGGACAAAAGTGTATACAAGAAGACTAGGTGGGAGGCTGTCATGGTACCAGGAGAGAGATGGTGGTAGCTTGCTCAGGGGACAGCAGCAGAGGTGGATAGAGTGGAGAAGATTAAAAGGCGGAATCATCAGTATATAAGAGGATGAAGGAGAGAGAAGAGTCCAGGGTAGCTGTGGTTTGTGGTATGAGGAACTGAGTAAATAACAGTGGCATCAGTGGAAATAAGGAGGGAACCCAGCAAAAAGAGCAGGTCTTGGGGTGGAAGGTGAGTTCAGGATTAGAGATGCTAAGCGTTCCAGGTCAACCATCCAGGTGGAATGTTTGTGAGAGACTAGATCTGTGTGCCTAGGCCACAGGAAGGAGTTCTCTTTCAACTTTGAACACAGCCAGTGCTATACATATTTTTTTATTAAAAAAATGTCTTAGTTGACTATTCAGCTAGCCTTTTGTCAACAACTGTTGTTTTAAAAAATTTTTTTCTTCCGCTAGATCTCGCTCTCGAAGCAGACATTCTCGTAAGAGCAGAAGCCGAAGTGGCAGCAGCAAAAGCAGTCATTCGAAGAGTAGATCTCGGTCCAGGTAGGTCTTCCGTGGTGTAAGTGGAGGAGGGCAGGGAGCACCCGTACCATTTGCCACACTGATTTCAATCATGTTACCAATCCGCCCTCACCTCGATTTTTCCAGCTCTGGACTAGAATCATGGGGGTTCAGAAAGCTGTCATGGGCCATACGTAACGTTGGGGGGCACAGCGCCACACTGTTCGGTCTTTCCATCTCATGATTAGCATCAGGTATGAAGTTGCATGTGACTTGGACATTGCTGTGTCTCCTCAGGTCGGGCTCCCATTCTCGGAGCAAGAGCCGCAGCCGCAGCCAAAGCCGGAGTCGGAGCAAGAAGGCCAAAAGCCGCAGCCCCAGCAAGGATGACAAGAGCCGCAGCCGCAGCCACAGCGCAGACAAGCACCGCAGCAAGAGTAAAGACCAAGCCGAAGAGAAGATCCAGAACAGTGACAACACCGAGAAGTCCAAGAGCCGGAGTCCCAGTCGTCATAAAAGCAAGAGTAAAAGCAGAAGCAGGAGCCAGGAGAGGCGGGTGGAGGAGGAGAAGCGAGGGAGCAGGAGCAGGAGCAAGGAGAAGAGCCGGAGTCAGGAGAAAGGCCTCCACAAGAGCAGGAGCAGGAGCAAGGGAGGCAGCAGGAGCCGCAGCAGGAGTCGCAGCAAAAGCAAGGACAAGAGGAAGAGCAGGAAGAGAAGCCGGGAGGAGAGCCGCAGTCGCAGCCGCAGCCGCAGCCGCAGCAAGAGCCAGAGAAGCAGAAAACGCAGCGGCAAGCGAGACAGCAAGTCGGGCAGCAGCAGCAAGAAGAAGAAGAAGGAAGATGCCGACCGCTCCCAGTCCAGGTCGCCATCCCGCTCGATGTCGAAGGAGCGGGAACATGCCAAGTCCGAGTCCGGCCAGAGGGAAGGCCGAGGGGAGGGCGAGGATGCTGGCACCAATCAGGAGACCCGGTCCCGGTCGAGGTCCAATTCCAAATCAAAACCAAACCTTCCATCAGAATCACGCTCCAGATCAAAGTCCGCTTCAAAAACCCGATCTCGGTCCAAGTCTAGATCCAGGTCCGCATCCAGATCGCCCTCCCGGTCTAGATCTAGGTCCCAGTCAAGGTCCTAACTGGCTACAACCACAGCTGGAACTACCCGAGAAGTTTTGTACATGTTTGGTAGCCGTAGCACAAGTGATTGAAGTAGAACATATGTCACTGCTGTACATTTTTAACTCCCCTAATGGTGTGTCTACAATTGTTAAATCTAAGTGCTTCCTCTCCGTAAAGCCTCCTGGCGCCAGGCCTTCCTGCTCGACTGAAACAATCTTCTCTCTGAAAACCCCTTTACTCATGGCCCACAGTAGAATATCCAAAATGCCTTGGCTTTCAGGCCTAGCCTTTCCTACAAGGAGCTCAGTACCTGGACGGCTCTAAGGCGGGAATGATGACATAGGTAGGTATGGTGAGTTCAACCATTTTTGCCCTTGAATTGATGCCCTTTGATGTATGCCATTTAGTGAAAGTGCTAAGTCTTAAGTTTCCTACCACTTTGGTTTCATATTTTTGGACTTAACAAAGTTGTGAATAGCACAGTCAAGGAAAATTGATACCTGCAGTAACCCATAGGAAATAAACTGTAGAGTTCCATATTCTGGTATTGTGATTATATTGTTTTATATTAAAAAAGAAAATAAAAGAATTTTTTTTAATTTTATTTTTCCCCGTCTTGCAAAGTATAGTGACCCCTGTTTCCATTAAATTTGAATAAAGACTATTTTTGCTTGACAAAATTTCATGGTGCTTGAATCAGAGTTGCATTTCCTGATCTCTTCATACCTCTTAGCATAAAAGTTCAGCTTGTAATGGCTGTTTTGTTCCTTGAGATCACTCGTGGGTAGGGAGCCAGTACTTTCTTTGCCCAACAGATTTTTCTCACCCAATAGAATAAAGACAAGTTTCTTGGAAATGTACAGTCCTTCCTCTTAAGAAGCTTATGGCCAAGCCAATGAAATGAATCAGTTTGGGAACTTGGGGTATCAGCAGGTGAGTTCTTCATGAACATAAGAGTTCTTCTGTACTGTTTGAACTTCTTGCCATGAATATGAAGTAGCACACCCCATCACTGTAGGATTCGGACTAATCGGAAACCAGGCAGAAAAACCGCTCAGTTGGCTTTGTTCCTCTCATTCTCTGCATTACCTGTCTGGCCGAGCTCTGTAAGAGGTACCAGAGATAACAATATTCCAATCTGGTGTCTGACCTTGAAGGACTGTTGAGAGGCATCACGGCAGGGAGGATGCCTTCGTTACATACTGGGGCAAGCTTGGGAAGAGAGAGAGTCACTTTTCATACTGCTGCCTGTGAATGTATCAGGGACTGTTACTAGATTTTAAATATTGTCCTGTCACTTTCTATAGACCATATCCCGTAGGACACACTGGAAAGGCAAATCTCAAGTGTTTCTTGCCCTCCTGGAGTTTGTGATCTGGTTGCAAATGATAAACACCTCTAGGATGAAGTAGGCATTCAGAGAAGGGAGTTGTAATTTCACCTGGGTTCACAGGCATCCTGGGGGCACAGCACTCGGGCTAAACCTTTGCAGATGGGTGTGTGAGGCATTTTTACTAAAAGAGAAATCATATGTGAGCAAAGCCATGGAGTTGGGAAAGCACAGGACAGGGTGCCCAGGGAATACGGAGTTTGATAATGGAGAGTAAGAGAAACCAGTCTGGCAAGATGAATTGGGCCATAGAGGGCTTTAAATACCAGTAGGAGGAATTTGGCCTTTGTCCTGTTAAACGTTGGGGAACAAAATATTTGAACAGTAGGACGTGGGTCATGGAGCTGTGCTGTCAGATCGATATGACCGTCCCGGGAAAGCTCGGGTGCAGGAAGCCAGCGCTTCAGGGAATGCGGTAATCCCAGTGCTACGGGGCCTGAATGAAGACAGCGACCTGAGGTAACGGAAGAGAGGAGACCAGCCCATCACCCAGGGAAAGGAGCTGTCTGAGATCACCCGAGAGGGCAAAGCCTTTCTGAGGAATAGGGAAGATGAAGGTGAATGAGTTCAGTTTTGAAAACATGGCCTCTCAGGAACAGACTGGGCAGCCGATCCCGAGAACCTCGGCCAGAGGGAAGGCCAGAACCTCGTTGTGTCTCCCTAGAGCTTCCCCTCCTTTCGTGTGTCATCATGACAAGGTAGTGACACCAACCGGTACAGTTCCCACTGCTTCAGGTCTTGTGTTCGTCTCCAGTAGGTGGTTGAGAACCCAACATTCCCTCATTTTATCTCTGTAAGGATGAGGACATTGTTTGGGTTTTTTTAAGCCCAATTTTTTGAGGATTCATATTAATTTCACTATCTCTGACAAAGCAACTATTTTTCCAAATTCTCTTCCAAGTTTTGTTCCTATTTATATTCTAAACATAGTTATGTTATTTTTCATGTAATATTAAACAACAACATGAGCATTGGAAAGTTTTCACTTTAAATGTTTAAGGCACATTAATTCTAATCTGAATTTATTAACACATGCGACCTTTAAAACTGGAAAGTCCACGTATACATAGAAGGGATTTGCAGTAATTTTTTTAACTGCAATTTTTAAATCCATTTATATTAAATTTTGAAAAAATTTTTTAGAAAGCAAGAGAAAGATTTGGAAACTTATCTGTTGAGTTCCAAACATGCACCAGAGATTACTACTTTCATGTACATTTTTCATCTTGTTCTCACACCACCAGCCTTAATTACAGGTGAATAGACTGCAGCCGATGTTCGCCAACTTGCAACAATATTAGTTTAATATATGAGTGCGTTCTACAGGCCAAGCACTGTCTAAAGCACTGGGAATAGCATATGAATAAGACCGACAGCCCTCCTGGAAATTTTAAGACTTGTTGCGTGGCCCATGATGGTACCAATACTGAGTGCTTCCTGTGGGCCAGATACTGCGCCAATCAGGGTTCACTGTCTTTGGCAAATCACTGCAAGGCATTCCCCTGCCACCTCTTAGTGTAAAAAGGTTTCAAAAGATAGTGCTTGTTCTAGACTGTACTGTTGTCCCTTGACAACAAATTGAGCCAAAGGATGGCAGTAACATTTGAGGCTAAAGTTGGGTAATGCCTGCCCCACCCACCTACACTCCAATGGAAGAAAGACCTTAGGAAACTGAAAGAGGAAGGGCCTAAATCTGATTCAATCACCTATCTGCATCTGCTATGAGCTAGGGGCTTTCATGAATATTATTACGTTTCATTATTATATTTTAAAAGGAGAAGACAGGTTCAGAGAAGTGAAGTGTTTTGCCCAGTGTAGCACAGCTAGTGGCAAAGCTAAGGATAATTTCTAGATTTTTCTGGTTCTCGTAAAAATTTAATTCGTGATAGGAAGACATTTGCTCGAAGTCACAGAAGCTAGGATTTGAACTCAGATTCAAGTCAAGCAGAGTTTCTACAAGGATGAATCTGCTTTTCTTAAGCAAAAAGTTCTAAGTAGCTGCAGGACAATGCCACTAGCCCATTGCTGTGAATAAATTTCAATGGCTCCATATTTTGATAGAGACTCAAAGGCCTGCTTGAGAGTGTTGCTTTGTCCAAGCACAGGTCATCATTCCACATCCTAGGTGCCAAGGACTGAAGAGAAGGAATATGGCTCATTTTAGCTACTGTAGTGGGAAACAATGCATTAATGCCCACAAAAATACACACGATAGGGAATTTTCCAAAAAAGAAGCAGCCAAAAAAATACAACGGTCCACTACAATTCACCTTTTCAGATGCTTAAAGTTTACTACACACCTTTCTTTCCATACTTAACCTTCCTTCCTCTCCCTCCCAAAAAAAGAGCGGAAGACAAAAATAACAAAGAAGAAGAGCAATGAATAGAAAACAGCAATAAATGTGGTAGATACAAAGCTGTCAGCAATTATATCAAATGTCAGTGATCTGAAAGACAAAGACTTATCAGTGGATTAAAACAAGACCCAGCTCTATGTTGTCTAAAAGAAACTCATTTTAAATAGACACATTAAAAGTAAAGAAATAAAGATTTGTTAACACTAATCAAAAGAAAGCTGTAGTAGCTATATTAATTTCAGACAAAGCAGACTAAAGAGCAAGGAAAATTATCAGGGACAAAGAGGCATTACATAATGATAGAGATCAATTCTTTTTATAAAGGTATAAAAAATCCTTAATGTGTATGCACCAAACAACAAAGCATCAAATACATAAAGCAAAAACTGATATAACTGCTAAGAGAAAGAAACATCTATTATAATTGAAGACTTTGACATCCCTCTATCAGTAATTGAGAGAGCTATTGTACTGGAAATCCCAGCTAATGCAATAAGACAAGAAAAGGAAATAAAAGATATACAGAGTAGGAAAGAAAGAAAACTATTTGTAAACGATATGATTAACTGTAGGAAATCCCAAAGAATTGACTGAAAAACTCCTGAAACTAAAGCAATTATGGCAAGTTTTTGGAATCCAAGATGCATTTACAAAAGTCGATTGCTTTCCTATGTACAGCAATGAACGATTAGAATTTAAAATGAAAAACAGTACCATTTACATTCGTACACTCCTCCCCATGACAGTTATAAAGTCTAACAAAATATGTACGAGATCTCTGGTGAAAGAAACCAAAGATCTAAATAAATGGAGAGAGAGTCTATGTTCATGGATAGGAAGACTCAGTGTTGTTAAAACGTCAGTTGTTTCCAGCTTGAGCCATAGATTCAATGCAGTCTGAATCAAAATCCCAGCAAGTTATTTTGTAGCTATCAATGAACCAATTTTAAAGTTTTCATGAAAAGGCAAAGAATCTGAAATAGCCAACTCAGTATTGAAATAGAACAAAGTCAGAAGACTGGTACAACCCAACTTCAAGGCTTACTATCATCTTTAGTAAGCATGACAGACTTGTACTGGCTAAAGAACAGTCAAGATATAGCAATGGAACAGAATAGAGAGACCCACACAAATATAGTCAACTGATCTTTGGCAAAGGAGCAAATATAGTTCAATACAGAAAGGATAGTTTTTTCGACAAATGGTCCTAGAACAACTAAACATCTACGTGGAAGAAAACGAATCTAGACACAGATCTTACACATTTCACAAAAATTAACTCGAAATGATCACAGACCTAAATGTAAAACACAAAACTGCTACAAGATAACCTAGGAGAAAATCAAGGTGACCTTGGGTTTGGCAATGACTTTTTAGATATAACACCGATAGCACAATCCATGAAACAAAAATTGAGAAGCTGGACTTTTATTAAAATTAGAAACTTCTGCCCCGTGTAAGGCACTATTAAAACAGTGAAAAGACAAGTGACAGACTGGTAGAAAATATTTGCAAAATCATTTCCAACAGGACTTGTATTCAAAATATACGAAGAACTCTTAAAACTCAACAATAAGAAAACAACCCAATTTAAAAATAGGCAAAAAGTCGGAGCAGACACCTCGCCAAAGAAGATATACAGATGGCAAATAAGCATATGAAAAGATGCTCAACATCATATGGCATATGTAAATTAAAAAAAAAAAAAACCTGAGATACTGGTGGGAATGAAAATGGTACAGCCACTCTGGAAAGCAGTTTGGCAGTTTCTTACAAAGCTAAACATACTTTAACCATTTAGCAATCATGTTCCTTGATATTTACCCGACTGACTCATGTTCAAACAAAAATCTGTACCCAGATGTTTATAGCAGCTTTATACATAATTATTAGAACTTGGAAGCAACCAAGATGTCCTTTAACAGGTGAATGGATAAATTGTGGTACAACCGTACAATGCGTGTTACTTAGTAATACGAAGAAATGAGTTATCTAGCCACTGACAAATGATAAGGAGACTTGAATAGATATTGGTAAGTGCAAGAAGTCAATGTGAAAATGCTACATACTGTGAGATTTCAACTATATGATATGACATTCTGGGAAGGCAAAACTGGAGACAATAAAAAGATCAGGGATTCGGGAGAGGGAGGAAGGGACAAGGTGGGGCACAGGGGATTTTTAAGGCAGCAAAGTTATTCTGTATGGTATGTGACATTATGCATTTGTCAAAACCCTAGAATGTACAACATAATGTAAACTATGGACTTCAGGTAATAATGCTGTGTATCAGTTTATCAACTGTAACAAATGTACCACATCAATGCAAGTTAATAACAATAGGGGAGGAGGTGAAGGGGGCATATGGGAACTCTGTACTTCCCACTCAATTTTTCTATAAACCTATAAAATCTATTATTTTTTTTTTAAGTGCAAGGAGTCGACCTAATGTCACCCCAGTATCTAGAAAAATCTCTCAGGTAATTTCCACTTTTCTAGCCCTTTTAGTAATCCCATCTTGATATTCTGCAACCTATACACAAAATTAAGGGTCAGCAAACGACAGCCTGTGGGGCCAAGTCCAGCCTGCCTTCTATTTTTCTATGGCCCTTGAGCTAAGGACAGTTTTTACATTCTTAAATGATAAAAACTCAAAAGAATATTTTATGATACATGAAAATTACAGAAAATCCATATTTCCGTGGCACAGCCATGCTCATTTGTTTGTGAATTGCCTAGGGCAACAGAGTCAAGTCACTGCCACAAAAATTGAATAGCTCTCAAATCTAAAATATTTATGATGTGGCTCTTTTGGGGCATGGGGGAGTAAGAGGGCAGGATTTTCAGTTTAGTGTGGCTCTTCACAGAAAAAGTTTGCTAACTCCAGTACTAAATGGTAAAATTATAGTCTATATACAATAATGAGGAAAAAGAAAAGAGAAAGAAATTATTTCAAATATATAAATGGATGCATGACATATCCAAAAAGTAAATACAGGTAGAGGCTACAGTTCTATTTTATTATAACCAGTCAGAAGGCCTGGGCTGATTTTATTCTTTCTTCCTCCACGGATGAATTTTAATGACATACAGAAATAATAATACTGCAGTGAAACAGATTTTTAACAAGAAGTTTCTGCAGGCCACCTGTTACCAAGCTACACAATAATCACTATGTTCTTAGTGCATAGGGACTTCTTTTTACTCTCAGTGGAAGCAGGAGGACCTGTAGGGACAATGGACAAGAATGCAGGTGATTCAGGAGGGCCAGCCAGCAGGTCGGGCTTCTGGTGGCAGATGCCCACTGATCAGTAGACGGAGGATCTAGTTCCCTCAGCTTCTGTGAAAGGGGCACAATACTGCTGCCCCTCCCCGCCCCGCCCCCGTCAGGACGCTCAACAATAGGCAGCTCCTCCCATAAAAGAAGCGGGAGGCTGGGAGGAGGGCAGTCGCACATTCACAAATATCTGCTACACATTTGCAAAATCCGGTGTCACCTCCAGAGGAGGGTTCAAAGATGCACCAGAGATGAACCAGATATGGAACATGTCTTCAAGAAGCTTCAGCTTTATTTTTAATGCTAAAATCCAAACAAACTTAAATTAATCCATGCTCAGTAAAGGAACACCAGCTATACAAGGCAAAAATCCCCGGATTAGAAATGCAGTTTGCTTCATTTCACCACCAATATGCCAGGGAGTTGAAGAGAAGCAAACCCAGTGCACGCCTCTATCGGTGAAGACCAACCGGAAGTGTGCAGACCATGCTGGGCACCAAATGGCATGCACACAGGTGTCCTTACCAGCCTCAGGAGTCAGAACCCCAAACTAGAAACAACCCAAAAGCCTCTTCAGTCAGAGCATGGATCGGTTATGGCGCATTTCCATAACAGAGCACTGTGCAGATGAACAAGCGACAGCCGCAGGAAGCTATATGGGTAAATCTGGACAAACATAAAGAAGCCAGATGTGAAGGAGCACAAACTTTAACTCCATATATGAAACGGACCAAACTAAGATGTCGCTGTTTTTGAAAACTGTAGTTTTAGAGGTCAGAATAGCGTGTCTTTTGGGACAGAGGGAGGAGGTGGTCATGGGAAAGGGTGAGGCAGGCTGTGTTGCTTCTAGCCTAGTGGGGATTAGATGGGGTGCAGACTGTGTTGCTTCTAGCCTAGTGGGGATTAGATGGGGCTTCGTGAAAGTGCACTAAACTGGACATTCAGGTTTTATGCACTTTCCTGGAGGTGTATTATATTCACAATGAAAGAGTTTTACCAAAAGACAAGTGGAGACTTAATCAGATCCATTGGAATCAAATTCCTTTTTTTATAAGATAAAGTACCTTATCCTTAAGTCACACTTTCCAGGAACCCCTGGTGTTTATGAGAGGCTATTGAGAACCTTGGCATATTCCTACAGTAATGCAAATTGGAGCAACCATAAGGTATTGCATTATACTTGGTATTTATTATGAAACCCCGTGCAGCCCAACTGATTCCAAATGGGTGTCCATACATCACCCGGAACGAGAGGAAGGAACAGCTGGCACTCCCACTCAGGGGCATTCACCCTGAGGTGACAACTCAAACAAAGAAAAGAGCTCCAAGTACAAAGGTACGTGGCCATTATTCATTACAGGAAAAACAGCAAGGACAGGACTTTCACTAAACCCAGTCTGCTAAGGGCCCTCAGGGGCCATTCTGTGCCCAGCAGGTTGATGTACAATTCCCACCCCCATTCCTGAATTTATTCCTTTGAAAAACTTTACAGAGGTTTAGATGTTCAAGATCATTTAGTGAATCACCTTTATTGAGAAGACTCAAATTACATGAAATGAAAACTTCATGACCACACACAACAGTGACTAGGATGTGGTGGTGTTTATGTCGTTTAGCTATTACCATAAGTTGGCTGTAGACTCTTTCAATGAACTTTAGGTCACCATGTTGCCCCTCGAACATGTCTTCGCAAGAGATTTGAAGAGTCTCTTGGAGCATCTGTGCTGGACCCAGTAACATCACCGACGTATGGCGAAAGCTCCCAGCCATGGGTATCTTAGCCGGCATCCTGTGAAGGTGCTCTGCCAGGACCTGCGAGGACATCTTCTCCTCATTCTTTTAGCTATATCTGAGGACATCTTCTCCTCATTCTTTTAGCTATGTCTTCTTACTGGAATATGATGAGGGACATAAGGTTCCTGGAAAATCCCAGTGGGAGGCCAAGTGAATGATCTAATACCGACAAGTCACAGCGGAAGGGGTTTACACATGTCAAGATACCTGCTCCTCACAACACCCTGGAAAGGTCAGTGTGTTGTCCAAGTTTACAAATGAGGAAATGAGAGATTCTAGGGAGGGCGCCTTCCTAGAATCCCTACCTTCTTGCTCTGTGCCCTGAGACAAGTTACTTAAACTCTCTGGGCTATACTTTCCCTTGGACATTTGATCAGAGTAATGGCCTGGAGTAATTTCACCCCTGAACCTGGAAACAGGAAATATAGCTCAGTACCTGCTTTACCTGCAGGAGATGAGATCAATGGCCTCATATGGGGCCTGGCTTAAAGTACTCAATGAGTGGTTCCCTTGGCCTTAAGTGTCTTTCCTGCCCCTTCAAAGCTCACCTCACACCAGCTCCTCCACGGGGCCGCCTCCTCCGCACCCCCTCCCTGGTTGGAGCCTTGACACTGGGGAGGGAGGCACCCCACTGGAGATGCCCAGTGTGGTCTGCCCAGTCCTCAGTCTCTTCGTCTGTAAATAAGCAGCAAAGTTGCGCTGAAGCTGATGCCCCCTGGTCTG